TCACGGTATCTCTGTGCATTCAAAATGCCATCAATAAAATGCACCTGTGTTCGTTGTCCATAACATACGTCTGCCCATACCATAACCCCACCGCCACCATGGGCCACTCGATCCACAACGTTGACATCAGCAAACCGCTCACCCACATGACGCCATACACACTGTCTGCCATCTGCCCTGTACAGTGAAAACCGGGATTCATCCGTAAAGAGAACTCCTCTCCAAAGTGCCAGACGCCATCGAATGGGAGCATTTGCCCACTCAAGTCGGTTACGACGACGAACTGCAGTCAGGTTGAGACCCCCATGAGGACGACGAGCATGCAGATGAGCTTCCCTGAAACGGTTTCTGACAGTTTGTGCAGAAATTCTTTGGTTATGCAAACCGATTGTTGCAGCAGCTGTCCGGGTGGCTGGTCTCAGATGATCTTGGAGGTGAAGATGCTGGATGTGGAGGTCTTGGGCTGGTGTGGTTACACGTGGTCTGTGCGATTGTTGGATGTACTGCCAAATTCTTTGAAACGCCTTTGGAGACGGCTTAAGGTAGAGAAATTAACATTCAATTCACAACAGCTCTGGTGGACATTTCTGCAGTCAGCATGCCAATTGCACTCTCGCTCAAATCTTGCGACATCTGTGGCATTGTGCTGTGTTATAAAACTGCACATTTTAGAGTGGCCTTTTATTGTGGCCAGCCTAAGGCACACCTGTGCAATAATCATGCTGTCTAATTAGCATCTTGATATGCCACACCTGTGAGGTGGATGGATTATCCCGGCAAAGGAGAAGTGCTCACTAACACAGATTTAGACAGATTTGTGAACAATATTTGAGAGAAATAGGCCTTTTGTGTACATAGAAAAAGTCTTAGATCTTTGAGTTCAGCTCATGAAAAATGGGGGCAAAAACAAAAGTGTTGCATTTATAATTTTGTTCAGTGTATATTAGCATCCACACCAGCAGACAATATCGTCTGTTTATTCCAAGCGCACACTCGTCTGCCGTTTTAAATGCTCGAGCTCATTATAGCAGGATTGATTCTGATTGGCTGTCAGTGTTTTTATTGTTCATCAGCTGGAAAAAATCGTTTTGAAAGTGATTCCAACTATATCATTTCTCTGTGCCTTTATTGTTATAGCTGTGGTTGCCACACCTGTGAGGTGGATGGATTATCCCGGCAAAGGAGAAGTGCTCACTAACACAGATTTAGACAGATTTGTGAACAATATTTGAGAGAAATAGGCCTTTTGTGTACATAGAAAAAGTCTTAGATCTTTGAGTTCAGCTCATGAAAAATGGGGGCAAAAACAAAAGTGTTGCATTTATAATTTTGTTCAGTGTATATTAGCGTCCACACCAGCAGACAATATCGTCTGTTTATTTATTTACCTAAATTCACTACTTCAGACTTATGTGCCCTCCAGAAGCTTGAGTTCTGCAAGTCAACGGTGCATTATAGCGCCGTCCCAAAGAGGCATCAGCTGGAAAAAATCGTTTTGAAAGTGATTCCAACTATATCATTTCTCTGTGCCTTTATTGTTATAGCTGTGGTGTGGACTCTGCTATTCTTTAATATTGAGAACGATTAGAACTATATCTTTATCGTTATCTTTATAGTTATCGTCCTTGGTGTGAACAGGCCTTTACACTGGTGAAATGTTCAAATGAGCCAAGACTACTCAAACTCCAACTGTCAAAAATTAAAATGAAAACACCCTGAAGCCAATTAAACTCATAAGCTTAATAAACTGTTGGCATTGATGCTTGCCTACAAAACAACCACTGGCTCTGCACCCCTTTACCTAAATTCACTACTTCAGACTTATGTGCCCTCCAGAAGCTTGAGTTCTGCAAGTCAACGGTGCATTATAGCGCCGTCCCAAAGAGGCACAAAATGGGTTCTGTCAGTGCTTTGGCAAATAACACTTTTTTAAGACTATATAATTATATAATTTAAAGACAAAAAGTACTTATTGATAATATATTAACATGTATCCAAATCCAAATGTAATGCAATTTATTTGGGTGGGGGTGGGGGCACCAATTTGGATTTTACCTAGGGCGTCAAAATGGCTAGAAATGGCCCTGGATTGCTTCTATTGTCCTCATTTGTAAATCGCTTTGGATAAAAGTGTCTGCTAAAATTAAATGTAAATGAAAGCTTCTATTCTATCTATTATTTTTTAATTTGTCTAATCTAGCTAATATTTCTATTTGGCAAAGTTATATGGACATGTACTGCGGTCAAGACCTGCCTGGAACTACTTTAGTAGTGTTTCCCTGTAAATAATTGCACACCTTAGAATGTTCGCCAACCAATCAGATTCAAGCATTCAACAGCCCCATAGTATAATTAGGAATTATATTACCGTATTGGCCCGAATATAAGACGACCCTGATTATAAGATGACTCCCCTTTTTCCAGATGTACCTTTTGGAAAAAGGCTTTTTAAAAACCAAATCTTGTTTTTTCTCAGTAGAACACATTTTGTCTTCAATTATTTTCATATTGCATATTTTTCCTATTTTAATTTTTGTTTTGAAAGTATGGTAAAAACTGGTCAAATGTACCAACAATCACATTTAAAAATATATACACTTTTTGATATACCATAAAAAAAAAAAACATGAATTAGGACATTTAGGCTATCCATCTAATAGTAGCCTACCAAAATCTTAGAAGTTAAATCGTACTGTAGTCTTCAAAACTGGGTACTGTCTTACGTTTTAAAATCACAAAGGGAGTTTGGTCCCATCAGTCACGACTCGTGCAGCTGTAAGGTTTTCTTTTTCCTTTGTTTTTACTCGCGATATTTAACAACACGCATTACATTACGTATTTCATGGCACACTCATTTTATGCGTATTTGGCGCCACCTATTGTTGTGGGTGTATTATTGACATGTCAAAGTCTAGACCCTGAATATAAGACGATCGCGTTTTTTCAGATGTATTTCCAAGAAAAAAACATTGTCTTATATTCGGGTCAATACGGTAGTTACTTATCTATTTTGTTGCGAGTGCAGTGCACTTACGGAAAGAGCCCGCCCATACACTACTCTGATTGGCTTTGATTTTGATTGGCAAATTGTCTGTCTGTCTGTCTGTCTGTCTGTCTATCTATCTATCTATGTATTGTCTGTCTGTCTGTCTCACTGTCTGTCTTGAAAGACGGCATGACCTTAAGATCTTCAACTTTAAGCTTTTCTAACTACTAATTCAAACTTCAGAATTTTAAAACTACTTGAAACTTTCTTGTCAGGCTTTCTCAAGCTGACATCAGTTTTGTGTGACTATTTTATCTAGTTTTCTCTACTTTTTAAAAAAAAATCTATCTTCAATTAATTTGCCTTCATTTGACTTTCACAGTACGGATTTAGCTTTTGACCTCTACGGATATGTGTTCATTACACTTAACAACATTCTGACTGCTGCTAATGGGGCTTATATGAAACAAAAACTGGACTCCAAGGTAATTTAACTCATAAACCTGGTTTATGCTTGACACATCCACACAAATGCAAGAGTGTGTGCACCAAAGGTCCTGTTGTCTTTGTTTCACATACCTGCAAATGTGCCAGGTTTCATCAGCATGCACAGTTTTGCACACAAGCCTTCAAATCCAAAAGCTTCATTAGTTTTTCCTTTTTAGAAAAAGTTTGGCCCACTGCCTTTTTGTATAAAACATTTAGACACAAGAGTTTCATTAGTAAAAAGAAAAAATGGTTTCTGTACATTTAGTCACCTTTAGTTTTTACTTATATGCTGCTTCTTGCTAGCTTCACTTGGTGTTTAGGCTCATGTATGAGCTGAGCTGAAAGCAGATTTTAACAGAGACCTGCTAACCTGACATGCTTGTTTTAACCCATATTTAGTTTAAAGATTTTTTTTTCTCCCTGCATTTCAGGAGCTGGGAAAATATGGGCTGCTCTATTACAATGCTTTATTCATGATTATTCCCACTATGATTTTAGCATACTTAACTGGAGACATTAAGAAGGTAAGAATTTTAATAAAAAATATTATGACACTTAAATGTTTTGAAAAAATTAAGAACAGATGGAAAATTTAATCTGAAATTTGATTGACTTTACATAAATTAAAATGTACATTTGATAAAATAATAAATGTACATTTGATAAAATAAATAAATTCTCTTGTGAATTTTCAGGCTTTGGAGTATGATGATTGGGCTGACATTTTCTTTGTGATTCAGTTTGTGTTATCATGTGTCATGGGGTGAGCCTGATATTTTCAATCTTTTTCTGTACTTAAGCTTAAGTTTCTTAAGACTACTTAAAGATGAATTGTGTAAATTTTTGAGATGTAAAAAATTCATATTCTTTTTTTCTCTTGTTCTAATGATTATAATATCATTGGTTATTTTGGCAGGTTTATGCTCATGTACTCAATTATGTTATGCACCCATTATAACTCTGCTTTGACGACTACCATTGTCGGCTGTATCAAGGTCGGTAATTAACATTAAATCAAATTAAATTAAATTAAATTAAATCAATTAAAACTTTACTTTGTTTCCTTTAACCAACCCAACAGAATATCTTAGTGACATACATCGGGATGGTGTTTGGTGGAGATTATATCTTTACTTGGGTGAATTTTATCGGCCTAAACATCAGGTAAAAAGGTCCATTTTAAAATGAAAGTGAAGATAGCCCACATTACTGGGACATTCTTAGTAAAAGACTGTAAAAGAAACCATAAAATGTGATGTTATTTACTCATGTCAGAATGATCAAGGTGCAAACAAATGTGGATTTTCTCAGAAAACACAAGAATATAGAGGAAAAACATTAGAGTACTGAAATGTAAATAAAATCAAAATTTAGGTAGAATTAAAAAAGTTCTGTATAACCAAGCGACAACCTTCCCGTCTCTCTCTTGAAACCAACACGGAAGTAACTTAAACTGCAATTCATCGACTGGCCGCTAGAGACTGGCTCCAAAAAGGATTCATTCCCATAGACCTCCCATGTTAAAATGCCCAACTTTACAGCAGAAAAAAATATGTTTACAACCTGGTACAAAAAGTTGTTTTGGTCTAGCTAATTTTGTCCTTCATGACAACTATGAGGGGGTGAATTTTTTTATAACTCATCCGTTTAAATTCTATTAAGCTTTAAAGATCTGCATAATTAAAAGTGTGGCCACTTAAGTGGCAGATGGATTGCCACTGCTGTCACCACCGTCAAGCTAGGGCGTGGTTTCAGCAACCAGTCACCTCAGCTCTACCCACGTCCTGCCTCTTTGCCCATTTCCGATCAGATGGAAAATTTAATCTGAAATTTGATTGACTTTACATAAATTAAAATGTACATTTGATAAAATAATAAATGTACATTTGATAAAATAAATAAATTCTCTTGTGAATTTTCAGGCTTTGGAGTATGATGATTGGGCTGACATTTTCTTTGTGATTCAGTTTGTGTTATCATGTGTCATGGGGTGAGCCTGATATTTTCAATCTTTTTCTGTACTTAAGCTTAAGTTTCTTAAGACTACTTAAAGATGAATTGTGTAAATTTTTGAGATGTAAAAAATTCATATTCTTTTTTTCTCTTGTTCTAATGATTATAATATCATTGGTTATTTTGGCAGGTTTATGCTCATGTACTCAATTATGTTATGCACCCATTATAACTCTGCTTTGACGACTACCATTGTCGGCTGTATCAAGGTCGGTAATTAACATTAAATCAAATTAAATTAAATTAAATTAAATCAATTAAAACTTTACTTTGTTTCCTTTAACCAACCCAACAGAATATCTTAGTGACATACATCGGGATGGTGTTTGGTGGAGATTATATCTTTACTTGGGTGAATTTTATCGGCCTAAACATCAGGTAAAAAGGTCCATTTTAAAATGAAAGTGAAGATAGCCCACATTACTGGGACATTCTTAGTAAAAGACTGTAAAAGAAACCATAAAATGTGATGTTATTTACTCATGTCAGAATGATCAAGGTGCAAACAAATGTGGATTTTCTCAGAAAACACAAGAATATAGAGGAAAAACATTAGAGTACTGAAATGTAAATAAAATCAAAATTTAGGTAGAATTAAAAAAGTTCTGTATAACCAAGCGACAACCTTCCCGTCTCTCTCTTGAAACCAACACGGAAGTAACTTAAACTGCAATTCATCGACTGGCCGCTAGAGACTGGCTCCAAAAAGGATTCATTCCCATAGACCTCCCATGTTAAAATGCCCAACTTTACAGCAGAAAAAAATATGTTTACAACCTGGTACAAAAAGTTGTTTTGGTCTAGCTAATTTTGTCCTTCATGACAACTATGAGGGGGTGAATTTTTTTATAACTCATCCGTTTAAATTCTATTAAGCTTTAAAGATCTGCATAATTAAAAGTGTGTCCACTTAAGTGGCAGATGGATTGCCACTGCTGTCACCACCGTCAAGCTAGGGCGTGGTTTCAGCAACCAGTCACCTCAGCTCTACCCACGCCCTGCCTCTTTGCCCATTTCCGATTATCCGAGATTGACACGCTGCCAAGATGGCGACGGCCGGCTCTGCCTAATTTAGGCTTCAAAAATGCTCTTCAGAAACCTACGGGTAACGTCACGGACACTACGTCCATGTTTTTATACAGTCTATGTGTATAACCCACTCGTTAAAAAAAAAAGTGGTCACTTTTTTGTGTTTCCTGAGAATGGCCATGAACATTTCTTTGATATTTCCTTCAGCTGTTCTATAAATATAGCTTTTCTTAACTTTTTCCCCTATAGCATTGCTGGCAGTCTTGTGTACTCACACATCACTTTCACTAAGGAACAAAAAAGTAAGCGCAGTACAAAAATGTGGATTTTGTAAATTAAAATTAGGATCTTTTCAAATGCATCTCAAAACCTCCATGTCATGGATTAATTTCCTATCATTTCCTTTCTTTTATTGAATAAGATGAAGTGCATTTCAGATGACATGTGAAATCTTGTCTTTTAACAGAAAAATATTGATGGAACAAGCTTATAGTGTCGATAAAACCTATGGGAGTCAAGAAGACAGTCAGCAGGGTGTGCACACAGTCTCATTTCACAACACCTTGAGTGCAACAGAGACCAGCAATTTTCTCAGCAACCTTGTTTTTGTTGAGATGTGATATGAGAAGATATGATTTAATTTAATTTGATGTTGGATAGATGAGAAATTATTTCCTTTGCTATGGTATGAAATCAGTATTATTCTTTTGTCTTTGTAAATTGTAAAGTCCTCAACCTTAGTAGTTCAAGGTGGACTGTTCAATTTCCATTTTTATTTTTTAATTGAGGTATGAATCAAAATTATTTTTATTTATTATCATTATTATTATTATTTGTGTGTGGTAATTAACATGATACAAATTATGACACAACAAGTGATGCTGTTGAAACTGGAATAAGTGTATGAACAACCTAAATAACTTTTAATGGCTATATGCCATAAATAAATAAATAATAATAATAAATAAACTTTTGCATAAATTGATTTTCACTCATGTTTTTCACTATTTCGTTATTTTCACAAAGCACAATTCTGTGTGAAGGATCTAAGGATCCTCAAACTGTGTGTTTTGCTTCAGGAGAGCAATCATACATTTGTGTTGTGGTTTAGTTACTTTCATTTATTCTTCATGCATTTGTTCATATAATAATTTAATCATTTTATTATTCCATTCAATCATATAATCATTTATAATAATCATTATAACCATTTATATACTAATTTCATTGATGTATTCATTGATTAGTCATTTTTATTAGTTTTTTTAATATAATTTTTTCCATTGTTTAGTCCTATGGCTGTGTGTTTCAAGGGCTGTATGTCTTCATGAATAAGAGATAAGAGGGAATGCTCATTGAAATTCAAGGTTTATGGCAGGTTGTGAAGCATTTTGGTATAACACTGGTTGTTGGATTTGTGCTGGTCAGACGAAGTCTGAGCATTGAAACGTACACAATTAAGATTATTCAATAAACTCTAGTTTTTTTTTATCATCATCACTTTGTCTCTTGCTTCTGCTCTTCACTGTCTTTTCTCAGTCAACTTCTTGGTGGATAGAAGATTGTTAATACAGTTTTGGGTACCGGACAAACACTGGTTTTGGGTACCAGCCAAGACTTGCTGTTAACAGGTTTTGGGTATTAGACCATTTTGCTGACTAGTTGTTCTGTTACCGGACAAAACAGATATTTGTTTACAGGATTTTTGGAAAGATTTTTTACCTTGTGGGAAAAGTTTGAACAAAACTTGAGGATGTTTGTTTTTAGTGTGTAAAGAGCACATCACTAACAGTAGGGTAAATAACTCTGAAACACCTTTTTTAAGGGTTTTGTAACGGAGACGAGAGGCATGCGGATCCATATGCAAGCTTTTATTAATAAACATGGTCAAAAAACATAGGCAGGGTCGAACAACAGCAAACAGGTATGGCACAGGCAAGACAAAAGAGCAATCCAAAACGGGCTTGAGTCAGACGACAGCAAACGTTATCCAGAGGGCTTGACAAGAGAGGTAATCCGTAAACATGAGCAAAAGTCCAGGTGAGGGGCAAACACAGTCCGAAACGGCAAGGCAAAAGGTAAGTCCAAGAATCAGAAACCAGGAAATCAGGAAACACAACGAGACTAGACTAAGACTAGAACTAGGAACTGAGACTAGGAACTAGAAACTAAGACAGGGAAATGGCTCCGTAAAGTGCTATCACTTGGAGAGCAATAAACGCAGAAAATACTCTGCGTTGAATGGTGGTGTGAGACTGATTTATATATCCATATATCCTTTCTTTAACATTTGAAAGGATACTATGGCAAAGTTATTGCTTTCCTTATTCAAACTGATTTTTTTTCATGAATATATGGTTTACCTAAAGAATGAAATCTATATCATACACAAAATTATGAGCTATATCACTAAGAGTGTGACAATACACTTAGCTCATGAGATGAGACAAAATACAGATACTTGGTTCACTAGAACAAGACAATATTTTAATACTATTTTAAAGACATTTTAAATGACAAAATATTTGTCTTTTAATTACAAAAAGTAAAACAATGCAGTTGTATTTTGAAATATTTTAACTAATCTAGGGCTGTAACTAATGATTATTTTGGTAATCAAGTAATCTACTGATTATTTTGACAACTGAGTAATCTGATATTTTTAGTAACACTAACAGACCTAAGTGAAAACAAGGCTTTAGTATGACTATTTATATATAAACTAACGATGAGGCAATGATAATTGACGTAAGTAAAATATCAAAACCAAGTAATTACATGGTTTTATTGAACAACACTGTTAAAATACATAATGTAATATGCCTATACATAATACGACCATAACCAACTTAAGTAAATTATGTACTGTATTATAGCAAATACCTGCAGAAGCCGCCAACGGCCTGGTGATGTTTTACTTTACTGCATGATTAAACGTTCCATTAAATCCATTAAATTTTAATATTTGGCCGCATGCAAACTCTTGAAATCGCGATGTACAATAAATGGCATTTAGAAATAGGTTGATGTATTGTCCTGTGTTGGCTATTGAACATAAATGATTTACGTTACAAATCTAGTGAGATAATGCACACTGTTTTCCCAGATGAACGTAAGCAATTCAAATTCACAGCATATGCAGAGGAAGAGTTTAGCCCCTTTCACGCATACAGCACTGGTAAATTACCGGTGAGAGATCATGTGTGATTCAGGACCTTTTCAAAAATCCCTGTAAATTTGTTCTGGCAATCATATCGTTCATATGGAGATGACATCTTACTCTGAGC